CTCTTTTTTTTTTTTTTAAGATTTATTTGTTTATTCATACAGAACTGGGGTACAGGCCAAAGATGTGGAGGGTGAGAGGCTTCACCAGAGACCAAAATGGGGAGCAGAACAGGCAGATCGACGAAGTACACTGCTGAGGGGAGCAGAGGGCGGGTCAGAAGAGGTCTGCCATGCCATGTGGATCTCCTCCAGGGCAGTCGGGATCGAACTCATGCGGAAGTTACTTAAGTTTCTTAGTTCTGTGCTTTAACCCGCTGAGCCATCGGGGAGGGCCATGTCCTCACAACCTCTTAAGTGAAGTGTCTTAAAGGGCTACAAAATACAGATGATAGTGAAAATAAAACTATGTAATGTTTCTTAGAAAGTTTGAGTTTATTTCTTGGAAATGAACAATTAAAGGTAATAACAATATAATGTTTTCTAAATTTGGAGAGTTAATATTTTAAGTACTGAAGTCTTCAGGGATAGTCATTGTTTTCATTCTCTTTACTCCTTCCTGCATGTCTTTGTGTCTGTGAGTGGGAAGAAGTTTCTCCCAATAATCTTTTCTATTTCACTACGTTCCACCAGTTGATTTTTTCTTAGATTCTTCATTCATGCCAGCTCCTTCTAAAAGTTGACCTGGTGGTGCAGCGGTTTAAAGCACTGCACTGGGAAGCTAAAGCCACTTCCGCATGAGTTCGATCCCCGCCTGCCCCTGAATCGCCCGCTGCTCCCCTCAGCAGTGTACTTCGTCGATTTGCCTGTTCTGCTCCCCGCTCTGTCTCTGGTGAATCCTGTCACCCTCTGCATCTTTTGCCTGTATCCCAGTTCTGTATGAATAAATAAATAAATCTTTAAAATAAAAAAATAAAAATAATAAAAATTGACCATAATAGAAAGTTATCTTATACATTTTTATTATTTATTATATCTAATTCAGAACAATGTCAAGATTCCATTTTTATTTCTGACGGTGTGATTTTTTTATGTGACTTTGCTTTTAACTTCTGTTGATTATTTTCTTTGATTTTTTTTAAAAATTCTTTTTGTAGTTTTAACTTACTGATATAGTAACTTTTGGTTGAATATGATGTTTAATATGTAGGGTAATACTACCTTTATAATTTATCATCCATCTGATTTCAGGAAAACTCGCAAAGTTCTTTGACATTTTCTTCATCTATTTAAAGTTAATTTCTATCACTGAGGGTTATTGTGAGATTTAAATACCAAAGGGGAGCAAGAAATAAGCATTGAATTTTGAAGTTAAATCCCTCTTAGACTGCCTGTTAAAATTTGTGATTCTGTCATTTGTAAGCTTTTTTCCTCTGAATTCTCCCTTGGCATTCTTCACCACCTTCCCTTCCTGTTTTGTTTTGACTTCTTGGCATAAGTCTCACAGAAGATAAACAAGGTAAGAATTTTCATGGCATATACCTTCTCTCTGAGCCAAGTCGTAGTTTAACTTTCCTGGCCCTTCCTTTGTCAGTCAACAAATATTTAGGAAGGTCTAAAAAGAGTATGAAGTCCTGCAAGAGGTAGCTGAATACTTAATTCCCTTTGCAGTTACCCAGGCCTGTTGTTCCAGTTCACAAATGGAAACTCAATCCTACTGGAAGCAAGAACTTTTTCAGTGTTAATCCTGCATTAATGAATTTGTTAAATTAGTCTCTGCTGACACAGAGAAGAGAGTGTTGTGTGTTAAATGTGAGAGAACTTACTGTTTAATCTTACACATAACTTTGAAAGCAGGTTAGCTGGGGGACTGGGAGGTAGTGGAGAAGATGCTGTTTCAGTGCAGCCAGGGAGTGTCAAGTTAGACCAGAATAAGTGAGTGTGTTTGTTAAGAAAGGAGATCTGGCAGGAGCAAGGGTCATTTCAACTAAAATTTTAAAGGTGCAGAGGGAGTTTCTTTATTGTCATTAAGTTGTTAAACTATTCTAATTTGATAGAGCAGCTACAGAAATATCTTACGGTCCTTTCAATGGGCAACAGTTATTTATTTGTAGTGGACATTCCAGAGAACTTGCAAAAAGATGTAAGAATGTATGCAGTATAAGAAAATCTTACAAATTACAAAAGGAAATAAAAAATGAAAGTCATGGACGGGGTCATTGAGCCTGGCTTATAGTTTACTTTTCTATGACTACATTTGGCTTCAGACTCCCTAGTGGTTAACAAAGAAGGATGGTTAACAAAGAAGGAAGTTAATTTTGTAATTTCATGTATAATAAGATAAAAATAAACAAATTGTCCAGAAAAAGCAAAATGTGATGATTAGAAAACATGAAAGGAATTTCTTCAAGGAGACCACGTGAAAATGACCCTCTGTGATTTTAAACCTCTAAGTGGCACCTTGCAAGAAGAGCAGGGGTGGATTTCATTAGGCTAATTACTGTTGCAAGTATTAGTGCCAACTGACAGCACACTGAGCAATTGCCATCCAGCATCTCTGACTCACAGACCTGGTTCTGCACTTTACAAAATGGATTGCATGTGCCTCTATCGGTTGTTCATAAATGCTGTATTTTTAGTTGAGGTAGCATTGGTTTACAGCACTATATTATTCAGTTATAAGCTCATATCTCTTCAGATGTATTTACCACACCACACCTGCCTGCAAGGCACCCACAGTCCTCCACCATAGTCCATTGGGCCCCCTTTTACTTTGCTTTTTCCACTTTCTTCCTCCCTGCCTGCTAGTCTCACTTTTATAGTCAGATTTCTAGGGTTTGTTTGTGGCTTGGTTTTAATTTGACTCTACTTTGTTTCTCTGCATTCCACATATGAGTGAAACTATCTGGTATTTTTCTTTTCTCTATCTGACTTATTTCACTTGGCATGATGCTCTGCAGTTCTAATTCGTGTTTCTACAAATGGTGAGAGTTCATCTCTCTCTCTCTCGATATATATATATATGTATATATATATATATATATGTATATATAAAACTGAATATAGTATTCTGTTGTGTATACCTCCCACTCTTCATTTCACTATCTGTCCTATCTGTCCTTGAACATTAAAATTGTTTCCATAACTTGGCTAGTATAAGTAGGGGTGCAGTGAACATAGGAGTGCATATGTTCCTCCAAATTGGTGTTTCTGCATTCTTCCAGTTGATACTTTTGAAGGAACTTGCTGGGTTGTATGGTAAATCTATCTCTAATGGTCTGAGAAACCTTCATGTTGTCTTTTATAGGGCTGAACCAGTCTATATTCCCACCTACAATGTAGGAGGGTTTCTTTTTTTGCCACATCCTCAAGAACACTTGTTTCTGGTCTTCTCCATAGGAGCCGTTATTACAGGTGTGAAATTGTATCACATTAAGGCTTTGATTTTCATTTCCCTCATGACGAGTGATGAAGCATTTTTTTCATGTGCCAAAATGTCATGATATTCTTAAGAAATGAGTTAGCAAACAGTGAGTCTAGCAAATAGCCTGCCCCTCACAGAAAACTTGTTCCATTATTCATTAAGCATCTTCCAGTTTTCCTTACTTATACAGATTAGGTGTTTACTTGTTCTGAGTTAACATTAATGTATTTGGGGAAAAACCTCCCAATGGGAAATAGTTAAGGGCTACTAAAGTTAATGTTACTGTCAGAGATTTAAAAAATGCTTCAGGGCCTTCCCTGGTGACGCAGAGGGTTAAAGCACTGCACTGAGAAGCTAAAGACACTTCTGCATGAGTTCGATTCCCGCCTGCCCCGGAGGTGACCACATGGAGTGGCAGACCTCTCCGGACCCGCCCGCTGCTCCCCTCAGCAGTGTACTTCGTCGATCTGCCTGTTCTGTTCCCCACTCTGTCTCTGGTGAAGCCTCTCGCCGCCCCTGAGTCTCTGGCCTGTACCCCAGTTCTGTATGAACAAATAAATAAATCTTAAAAAAAAAATTATAAAAAAAAATGCTTCAACTTTATGCTACTCATTGCTACAACTTTTCTACTAATAATCTGTTTAGAAATCTTGGTCCAGTGCTTATAAAATCAGGGTAATGCAATCAAAGGAAGAATGTCAACTGATTCAAGCAGATTACTAGAAGTCAGAAAAATTCAGCTTATGGCCATCACTCAGTCTTTGATTTTATGATACTATCATGTCTTTTGAACACTGTCTGTTAAAATGAGTTGATAACATTTGCCCTGGTCAAACTCACAAGACTGTTCATGGACAACTTAGATAAGGGTCAAAGTGCCTTGAAGGTAAAGCCACTCTGAATAAAAGTATGATACAGCCACTGAAAAGTATATTGTAGAGGCAAAAATGGTTGATCTCTGCAGTTCGTGACTAGGTAATGCTTAATAATAAATCTCTGTCAAACAAGCTAACTCATCAGGTCATTATTATATAATATTTAATGGAAAAAAATTCTTTACAAAGGTTCTTTACCTTGATAGAAAATCATGTCTAAAATACAATCTTTATATGACCTCAGTTTATAATCAATAATACAGTAGTGTCTGTAGTCATTTTGTAGGGTGCGGATTTTATATGTTTAATAAATTGATAAATTAAGAAAGCATGGGTGGGGAAGAGAAACTGACTACAGTGTTTTCTAAGATAGCAATTATTTAGATAATTATTACTGTTTTGAAGACATGTTGACATGATTATATTGAGATTTTCCTTTTGTTTATTTTGTAGAAATGTCATACTCCTAACTGTGCATAAATACTCTTTCCTGGTGTCTTCTTTTTCTATCACAGTTAACATCCTCATTCTCAGTCCTAAATCAGGATGCAGGCCAACTAACTCACTGATGGCTCAATCAAAATAAGAATCCCCAAGTCTCTTAAGGTAGAAACAAAATAATGGGGAAATGGCTTTTCTTGAAGGGGAATCCCTTTTGTGCTCTTATTCTTTTCCCTTTTATCTTCCCTTGCACTGTAAATTCACAGCACCCTTTGTTCAGTCCTTAAGAAAGAGAAGTGAGCAAATATTTGATTGTTTGGACCTTGCATAAAAAAGGTTGTACCCAAGCTAACTTAATACATTTTTATGTTTTCTTCTGTCAGGGGGCCATTTCTTGTGGCACTGGGGAAATCTTGGCACCCAGAAGAATTTAACTGTGCTCACTGCAAAAATACAATGGCCTACATTGGATTTGTAGAGGAAAAGGGCGCCCTGTATTGTGAGCTGTGCTATGAGAAATTCTTTGCTCCTGAATGTGGTCGATGCCAAAGGAAGATCCTTGGAGTAAGTATTGGAAACCTTTTTATTCTTGAGTTTTAGAGAAGAGTAATTTGTTTTTTATGAAAACCTTTCATCATTTTTCTTTTTGTTTTCTTATTTGATGCCCTCTCTGTTTTCATCACACTTGATTTTCTTAGGGCAAAAGTAAATGAACCTCTGTAGAAATATATTGGACCCATGGGGTTAAGTTTTCTTTAGTTTTATCTGAGTGTTGGTTCATTTGGTGAAAGTCTAGCCACTGTGGGGAAAAAATAATTTACTTTGGGTATGCTACTTCAACTGGACCCTGTTTGCTGCAGAATGAAGAAGTTGCACAGACCACACACAGCAGAGTTCTCAAAACTGACACCTTCACTATTTTAAATTAAATTCCATAGTTTTATAAGAGCAACTTTTCCCCATTTGTCACGGTTCAAGCATGGGGCACAGCTCTTATGAATTATATAAAACATGAGTCTTATAAATGATATATTTTTCTTGAATGTTTAAAAATATAACCTGTTTTATGAAAGTATATATGTGATAGAAAAATAATCAAACCATAACTTTTTCATTTTTAAGGGAGTAATTTAGGAGTCAGATACATAATAAATAATGATGAATGAATGAATTTCCTACTTTAAAATACTCAGTCTGCAATCATGAAGTAGCAGCTAAGCATTTCCTAACTGTAAGTGACTAAGAATTGGAATTTTATTTTAGAGACGTGGGTAACAGTTTCCAGTCTCATATAGATTATACAAAAGTAGGAAATGACATTGCTTCAATCTGTTATTTTCAGTATGAAATTGTAATAATGCAATTTTAATTCAAATTAATTGAATTAAATGAAATTTATCTCCATTATGAATTTGTACACTATATTGGAAAGAAAAAAGTAATGATTCAGGCTACATACCCTTCTAAAATAAATATAACATGCATTAATGCTTTTTAACTATATAAATGGATTCTATATTAATTGGTAAAACAAAGTAGAATCTTAGGGTCAAGTAGCTGTATTATTTTACTATAAATAATTAGAACATGTAAAAAGTTTAAAATAAAATAAAGTGGCCTGTATATCAAATTTTCATCCAGTTTGCTCTTTATACGTAATCTATTTGTAAAACTGTAATTATACATTATGCATATAGCATTCTCTTTTTTTATGGTAAATATTTGAGGTAAGAGTAAATTCCTGTATTAGCTGTTTACTCTAATGAGCTGTTTTTTGATATTCTTTCATTAAGGTAACAGTGGGTTTGCAGTCCTTGAAATGGTTCAGCTGTAGGTCATACTACATACTGATACTATGTTACGACACCTTTCAATCTAAAGAAATGATTCTTTGCAAAGTCAACTTCTCAGAATTTATTTTAGTAATTAAATTTGCCTTAAGTCTTTGATATTGGGTATATTTAACCCTCTAGTCACTGTTGACTGGAATCAGTGTTTTATGGTTAAAATTGTAGACAGTCATTTTAATGTGTGTCTAGTACACTCACAGCTAGTTTACAAAACCCTAAACAGGTGTTAAACTGATCAGATTACCTTGATTGTATTTCTACTTCCATAATACACCAGAATAAAAGTTTGTTTTAGTTTTTAAAAGTTTTTTGCTCTTCTTCCATGACATTGTCAAAACTATGAAACCCACCTTTTGAGAGAAAGCAGAATGTATTGTAGCAAGCACTTCCAAAATGTTTATTCACGGCACACATAACGTTTAAATAACTTAATAGTCATTCTTCAAATAAGTTTATTGATGTGTATTTGTGAAAAACAAACATATAATACATCAACTTACATAATTGGTAAGTCTGTCCTGTTGCTTAGATTTTGAAAAGCTCAAGACAACCACAAAACGTGTGTCTACTTCGGGCCATTTTCAACCAACTATATTGGTACAGCTATTCGAATAAACACTTGTGTTTGCATTCATTTACCTTTCAACAACAGGAAGTCATCAATGCTTTGAAACAAACTTGGCATGTTTCCTGTTTTGTGTGTGTGGCCTGTGGAAAACCCATTCGGAATAATGTTTTTCATTTGGAGGATGGTGAACCCTACTGTGAGACTGGTAAGATACAGAGTTTTTAAGTTTGAGGTAAAGATAAAACATTAATTCTTACATTGCTGTACAGCTGTAAGAAAACATTAGGTAAAATAGTTTCCCTAATTGTTCAGAGGCATTTATTGTTACTCTCAACATATAGCAGATGTAAAAATTTTATCTAATTTTGTCCAAACAGTCCCAACATCATTAAGACAAGTGAGCATGTAAGCATTACTTAATGCAGACACATTTTGCTTGACTCCATAATAATTTATGAATATAATTTCTACCAAATATTGTAGCTTAAAACCACCTCCAGTAGGTGACTTTTGAATGACTATAAACTTGAGAAATACTCAACTTTTGAATTGATTTGTTCTTTAAGGCAGCTGCCTTTTCAATGCTTTAGAAATCCTTTCTCACTTTACTGAGTAAGAGGATAATCCTGGTCTGGATTGCTCCCTTGGCAAAAATACTATTTTTTATAAACTAGCATTAAGGAAATATCTACTACTTTTGTCTTATTACCTGAACTAGATACCTAGGAGTAGAATTGCTAGAGCATGTGAAAGATCCATTTTCAGCCTTTTGAGGATTTTCAGCAATTAAAAAAAAATAGATAAACTCATGCCAGATCACCTCCTTTTCCTTCCAAAGGCTATAAATGAACTTTCATAAGACTTATTTATTAACTCTTACTGATATTTATTAATATTACCCCAATTCAATATTACCACCCATACATGTTTCATAAGTAAAATATTTTTCCTTCATAATACTTCCATTCACTACACTACATGTGACCATGTAATTTTATTACTGTTCTACCTTGAAATTCAACATGGGATGCTAGAAGAAAGGAATATTCTATGGTGAGCAAGTTAAAGCAGCAGTTAGCTTCTCATTTGAGACTGGCTAACCTTACTTATCCCTTCTTTGCCAACTAAATATTCTCTTATTTTCACCTTCCTTTAGATCCCTAGTTAGAACCAATCCAGGACTATACCCAACTGTCCACAAGAAAGCCCTGGAAATCCTGTGAACTACACCATGCATGGGCTGCTTTGGGACAGGTTGACAATAAGCTAACTACCCTTATTCAGCCAGCGTATTTCATATTTTACAATTCTATTTAACTCTACTGAAAAAAGAGATGTTTGTTTTAAATGCTTTGCAACACATTTTGACTATTTGGCAAGTCGTCCCTATCTAACCAAAACACATAATAAACTATATTAATATTATATTTAATTGGTCTATGTCTGTCAAGACCCAAAAATTGCCTCAGAAAGCGAAAAATATTAGTATCTTTAAGTGTCAAGTCTAATCAGGTTTATGTTCTTTTTCTTTTCTTAAATACACACACACATACACACACACATATATACACTACATCATTGTTTATTTTTGTGCAGAATTTGGCCCCTTCTAGGTGGACTCCCCATAAAATTATTACCACCAAGTCACTGTAAAGCATCACCGTAGTCTTGTGCTCTTTCCACCCCTTTTTTATTCTCTCTTCCTCCCCCTCTTCTGTTAAATGTCTCCTATTTATAGTTGGCTTCTAGTAGCCTCCTACACTTATTCTTAAGCCATTCTCCCTCAGCTCAGTGTTTCCACTTTCCCTTATCCAAAAACCTGGTTTCATCTTGGATTCTGTGCTCTTCTTTGTTCTACCAAATTACCAGTCTAAGTGAATTCTCGCAGTTCCATCCCCCAGTGCATTTGGAGTCGACTCATTTTTCTCCACCTCAGTTATCACCACTAAATCTAACTCACTCTCCCTTTCTCCTTAACATTGTAATTGTCAGCTAAATGGTACATCTTCTTTCCCCCAAACTTTACATAGTTGCTTTGGTTGTTTTGTCTTACTAATATGAATCAGTTGTGTGTCTAAAATCATGGTTTCCACCAGAATGAAAACTATTCTCCTTACTAGGGCCAACTTTGCCAACCTTCCCCTGCCACCTCACCCTCTGTTAGGCATTCTTGCATATTTTCTACCCTTGTTCTTTCTAAGCATGCCAAGATCCCTCCTGCCTCTGGGCTTTTGTACTTGCTGATTCTTCTAACTGAAATACTATTCCCCACTTTTTCTGTGTCAATTCCTCCTTTTTTTATTTCAAGTCTCATCAGGCCTTTCCTGACCCTCCTATATTGAGTTGTCCTCCCCCCCACCCCAGTTATTCAAATGTGCATATCACAGTTTTCTTTTCCTTTACAACATATACTAAATTTCAGATTAGTATCATTAACTTTTCATTATTATTATTTATTTTACTTAGGACAGCTAAGTAGGGCATAGTTGCTAGGGGCAGAGGAGGGGTGAGAGGCTTTACCAGAGGCAGAGTGGGGAACAGAGCATGCGGATTTACTTAAATTAAATATACAGCCGAGGGGAGCAAGGGACGAGACAGAGACATATGTTATGCCATATGTGGGTCAGCTCCATAGCCTGGGATCAAACTCAGGCCAAAGAATGCTAGTGCTGGTACTTAACCTCTAGGCCAACAGGCCATTTATTTAGTATTAATGGAGTACTATTGCTTTAATCTTTGTTAATATTTTGACAATATAGTATTTCTCCCCTCAGCTGTGGTCACTGTAGCTCTCTCCCACCAAAGAACCTATAGTCCTCCACCACAGTCCATGTGCTCTCCTCTTCCTCTTCTCATCTCTCCTTCTCTTCCTCTCTCCTCTCCCCTTTGGATGCCTCAGTTCTGTGTTCCATTTTCAAGGATTGATTTTATAGTTTGTCTTTGTTCTGATTTCTCTGTATCCCACAAATAAGTGATACCAGCTAGTTTTTATCTTTCTCTTCCTGAATTGGTATTTCACTTCAAATGCAATCCATATTGCTGCAAATGGCATGAGTCATTTTTTACTGCTAAGAAGTCCTCAAAAGAATAAAAATGGATCTGTTGTATTGCAACAGTTCCACTCACAGGTATCTACCCGAAACAAAAATTAATACAAAAGGAAACCTGCAGTCCTATCATTACTCTTTAAAGTATCGCAAATTATAACATGTTCCAGTGAGAAGACAAGCCCCATGAGAACAACCTTAGGTGTCTGCTTCATCACTCTACCCCCACCAGTGTCTGGCACACAGCAGGGCTCTGTGCATATGTTTTAAGCAAATAGGTATGAAGGAATCCCAAAGGCTGCTAAGAAAAGAGAATCAAGTTACTTGTGATAGCGTACCTTCTCCTCTATTCTTAGTTGATCTGAAAATATCAAAGATGAAAAAGTGAAACATGAGTAAACATGGTGGTGAGGGTGGCTATATAAAAGAAAATAAAAATGCTGATAAATTTTATTTTTATAGTAATAGAGAAACATCTTGTTGAAAGTGCTTTCTACCAAAGGAAATCCTATTAGTATTTTATAGCCATATCTGTGTATTCTCTGACTAAGAATTTTCAACATGAAGTCGTAAAATTGAAAGAACAGGAAAAGAAATAGTGGCTGATACTGTGATTCAGTCCAGCTAGAAGCTTAGTCATGGTACTTATTCATACAAGTTTCCTATGACTGTTTTTTTCCTTTATTAAGTCAGTTGCATATGAAATTTGGTAGTACCAGATATTTCTTCTTGATTTACAGTCACTAATCTTATTGTTGCTAGTCTTTGGAAGTTCTCTGGTATTAATGTTGAAACTGTCATGTCTGCTGGTAACTTACCAGAGTACAGTGTTGTTTTTCTTAATACCTACTAGGTATCTAAGAAGTTGTTGAGAAATGAAAAGCAGTACATAAAAAAATTATAAGGAATGTGATGTAAATAATGCTTACCAAGAGAAACCTGAAACTCAAATTACAAGTAATTTCACCTCATCTAATTCTAATTTTGTTTCTGTGAACTAGGAACTGACTTTCTACAAATTTGTCATGTTTGCATTATATCTCCATTTTCCCCACCCTGCTCTCCTCTCTGTCCCGTACAGATTATTATGCCCTCTTTGGCACCATATGCCGTGGGTGTGAATTTCCTATAGAAGCTGGTGATATGTTCCTGGAGGCGCTGGGTTTTACCTGGCACGATACTTGCTTTGTGTGCTCAGTAAGTAAGCTTATTTCCTTTTTTTTTTTTTTAAAAAGATTTATTTTATTTATTCATACAGAACTGGGATACAGGCCAGAGATGCAGAGGGTGAGAGGCTTCAGCAGAGACAGGGTGGGGAGCAGAACAGGCAGATCGAGGAAGTACACTCTGAGGGGAGCAGCGGGCGGGTCAGGAGAGGTCTGTCTCACCGTGTGGATCTCCTCCGGGGCAGGTGGGGATCGAACTCATGCGGAAGTGGCTTAAGCTTCTTAGTGCTGTGCTTTAACCCGCTGCGCCACCAGAGAGAGCCCCATAAGCTTATTTCTTAACTGAAGGACACGGTGTGGCCATTTCTGACCCAAGTACTAGATGGAAATCCTTCAAAACTAGAAAAAGTGGTTTACAGTGGTTTAAAAGGTTATTTAGTAAATTCTGGACACTTTGCGAAATTTGGGGGCACACAATAGGATGCTTCTTAAGAAAAAGTCCTGTTTTCGATAGACTTTTGTTTATAAGGAGAATCTGTATATTCTTTGAAATAGTAAATGACCTTTACATTTTTTAACACTTTTTTTATTGGAGTGTTTTTAGTAGTTTTTAGAAATGTTAAGACGTCCTTTAAAAAAGGATAAAAATCTATTATTGAATTACATCAAGTAAACTGTATGTTCTTTCACAACAATGGTTCATGAATATGAATATTTATGAAACTAGTAAATATGCAATAATTTATTTTGATGTTTTAATATTTGGGCCTTTTTAATCATGAGGATAAACTCAGATTATCATTGATTTATGATACATATTTAGAAACTAAATATCAAATAAAGGTACTTTAGTCAGACATTTGATTTTTTTTAAATTAGACTTTAATCAAACTGTGTTTAGTGTTTTTCACTGGAATGAATACTTCATTCCCCATAGAGGAAAATAATGATTCATGATTTAAATTAATTAAAATACATTCCAGGAAAAAGTCATTCTTTATTGCTTTTGAAAGATTATGTGAAATGTCAAGTTATTCAACAACTAGCTATAAAGTGCTTTGTCATATTATCTTTTGATTGAAAATCATTTTCTGCTTCTTGGACATACTTGATAAGATAATAATATTCACTTAAGTAATGTTTATTTTTCAGGTATGTTGTGAAAGTTTAGAAGGTCAGACCTTTTTCTCCAAGAAGGACAAGCCGCTTTGCAAGAAACATGCTCATTCTGTGAATATTTGAAAGTCACCAGTTAGGGGAAGAGAAGAAATTTGAAGAGGAGAATTAAAAATTACCAATTAATTTTCAGATTTAATATTTATATGAAATTTTGAAAAATAATTGTGGCCCTGAAGGGATAAATTCCAGCTTTTAAAACTAAGTCTATGAGGAAATATTTGGCTTCATAAATTAAAGAGACAGTTTGGCCTTTATTAATACTTTTTCCCTGTAATTTCTGCCTATAAAATAACTTTTATAAAAACCAATTTCCTGGTTGGCTGTTAAATTCACCTTAGAATAAGTTAGCAAAGAATTAAATTTTAGAATTAAAGACCTTTATGCTGAAATAATTACTTTCCTTGTTAGTTATGGGTTTTTTCTGTAAAAGACAATTAAAATGCCTCACACTTTATCATAAGTGAAGCATTGTATTTTTTAAAATGTTCTTTAAAATAGTAAATAGGAGTTTATAAAGATAATTTTATCAGTAATTGGTGTCAGTTATGTTTTAATCATATATACATTTTTTGTCCTATACTAACTTGACTTCTAGCAGGAAATAACAATAATGTTTGTTATAAAAATAAAAGAAAGTTTTTTTCTGTCACTGTCCCCTCACCCTCCAAGGTCATCATATAGCTTAAATCTCAAATTTTAACTTTTATTAAAATATGACCATTTCTATTCATTGTGTATACTTCATCCCCATATTAGTCAAACTCAGTTTTTTCTTTCCCTCATGCTGAGGTAAAGAACTAATTGAAAAACTTTGACTCTGACAATTTTCTTGCCTCTAAAGGCAGCAAGAAATCTTAAGATAATAATAATAATAATAACAGTAAGTAGAACATAATATGGTTAGAAAATCAGGTAAATCAGTATTGTATTCAAATTTTTTTTAAATCCTCCCATGTTTGGACAGATATAAATAGATCTGTTTCGGAGCTGACCTACTGACTTATGAAAGTTTTAGAGTTCTTTTTTCCCAGCATTTTTCCCCCTTTAAATCCATATTAGAAAAATAGAATTGCTGGGGATGTGAGAACATCTATGCTTTTCTCCTGCTAACTCTCCATCAGTAATAAATAAATCAACTCCACATGTGATAGCAAAGCTTGGGATGCCTTTATTCACAGAAGTTGGTTTGTTAGTAGGAGATCATCATTATTCAAGGTATTTTGTTTTCTTCATTTTCAGGAAGAAAATAGCATAGAACCACATCAAGACAAAAACAGCTATGGTAAAGTTGTGGTTCTTAACTGATAAGTAGCCCACTGAGGAAACATTATGGTATTTGATGGTTTTTTGCTTTTATTAGGGTAAAAGTCTATGATCACATTATGTTAGAATTTAAATTTGTTTGGGACAGGACACTTTAATAGTTACAACATAGAGCAAGTCCTTTCTGCCCATCCCTGGCTCATAACTTCATTCAGTCGTAGCCATGCTTCTTATAGAGAGTTTTAAGTTACAGTATTTGCGTAACCTCTCTAAGAACTTTTCCAGGCATCTGTCCTGAAAGCTGTTAATTTATGGCCTACCAGACTTATATTCTATACAGATAATAATTAACTGGAGATAGAAGAATGAGAAGGGTTGATACAAAGTGGCAAATGCAGTGCCTCACCAATAGCAACCCAAGACTACCTCCTCACCCTCTAACTTGGAGGGAAGCAGGAAGTCCTGAAATAAAGTCCTGGAACTAAATTGTATATTATTCCTCATTGCTGCTTCAACCGCCTTTGGAAGGTGTGCTGGCTCTGGTGTACAGTCACGTATCTTGATGCCAGTCTTTTGCTTTACACAACATAAAATCAGTTGGTTTTTTGGTTTCGGTGTGGTAGAGATCTTTTTTGTTATTTAGGTTTGTTTTTCATAGATTGTATGCCAAGATAGTAATTGATAAGTCATTGGCATTTGGATATTTTCTTCAAAGAATTTTATTTGATCTGTACTTCTTATAAAGTTGATTTTACATTAAGGATACATTTTTACTAAACTTTTTCCCACATATTTTTCAAGGAGCTTCATGTTGCATTTTTCCAAATTTTATCCCTAAAAGGGTAACATTGCTTCCTAATTTATCATTTAGTCTTTGTGCTTTGCCTTTCTCTTCCTTGACAGAGTTTTATTTCTGTTGGTAAAACCGTTAATTCTGTGAAACAAATATTGATTGTAATCCAGAAGAATCTGTGTTTTCCAATAGGGGATGCCATATTTAATATACTAGCATTAACATTTTAATAACTGACACAGCACTTTATTCTTCTGGTGAGCTTCCTGAATATTTATTTTTCAGATTGTAAGTGTTCCATGTCGGTAGTGTGTTTTTAATCTTACCTCTTTACTGTAGAGCATTTAAGTATCTCTAGATGTATATTTTGGAAAGCTGTACTTGGTACACTACAGATTAAGATAAAAGTACATAACTCTACAGCATCCCCTACTTGGATTTCCCAGTCCCAAAATGTCAGTAACAGGCTCAAATTTACCACTTCTCTCTAGACTTAAAGGAACAAATGTTCTCCTCTGAACTAGCAACCTAAAACTGATATCCTCTGCTCATGTTTGTTTATGGCATATTTAGAACAACATTAAGACAAATAGAAATGAGTTTAAATTTTCAGCATGTTAGTATAATATGTTTAGAATCATCTACAACAATAAATATAGGGTATGATTTCGTGAGGAACCTTTTTTTACAGAAAATAGTTCATTCCTTTTCCTCATTCAAGTGTGAATCTCATGTTATATTTAATTTTATTTTAGTATTTAGAGTTTTGTTGTCCCTTTTGACAAACAGAAAGGGAGAACATAATAATTTTACACAAATGTAATGTGGCTCAGTTTGTCCATTTTATCCTCCAAATGCTGAGGTATTATTGGATTGGGACTCTCAATATACCTTTGCCTCATCTATTAATTTCTCTTCTGGGTTTTTATATTTTTAAGTTTTTTACATGTATCTGCTGTTTTGTATACATTTTCTAACTCAAGTCACATGAGAAATAAAATCAGCATAGTAATACCTTATTGTGCACATGTACTCTAAATAAATGCCTGCAGTGGTGTAGACAAATTCTTCTGGTTTTTCTTTTTGGGTGGCAAAAATTTGCACTGAGACATCATGGAAAAAGTGTCAAGAATATGCTCAGATGTAGTAATCCTCGGGAGAATCCCTGTTTTTGACTTTTGTCATCATAATGCCTGCCACAAAACCAAGCATTTAAAGATACTGTCAGATTGTTCATCTTTAATCCATTATTGTACTCTATATGGAACATGACCCAATAAATGCTTGTGAATTAATAGATAAGTAAGCTCTATTGTCTTTAAAAATTATAGCTGAAGTTACTGGAATAACTTATTATATCAGGTATACATACTATATTCAAACAATGTAAGTTCTCATCTGTATTTCTTATATTTTTTCAGGGTACTTTTCCACTTCATGCTTAATTCAACCTTATCTCCTCAGCTGACTGATCTGTAACTGGGTAGGCTCACCTAATCCTTGTTTGTTGATTGGTTTTTTCCCAGCTGTATTAAGAATAATGTTTCTGTTGCAAGTTGTATATTGAAATAAAAGACAAATTGAAGTATATTTGCTCACAGTATATTAAACTCCAGAAGCCAAACTTATAAGGGCATCAAGTCTGCATGTGACATTTTAATAGCTGCTGTTTGGTTTCTATCAATCACGTCATTGCACATTAAAATGCGCCGACAAAATAAGAGATCTGTCATTTCTTCGTTAAAAAACAGTAATCCAGTACAAGATTTATAGGCTTAAGTCTCAGCAGTGTATGCTCACAATAAATCCCCATTCAGTACTCAAACCAGAACAAGCCTTCCTGTCGTTCAGTGTTTTCTGGTCAAATGTCCCAATTTAAGATTATCAAAGGTTTTCTTACAGAACTACGAATAAAATCCTTTTTGCCAGAGAAAGTTTAATTTAGGTTGGTGGTTTCCCCTTTTGAGTACTCTCAGACAAGATCTTGATTATATCAGAAACACATAGGTACTGATGTATTATTAGTGAGCCTGGTGTTAATTAGGGAGAATTACCAGAAGTAGTTTGCTTCATGGGAATTTATTACAGAATCACACTTGACTGATGGCAGAATAGGAGTTGCTGAGAGAGAGCAGCTCCCACTCATAACCACTAATTAATAGGGTGCCAAAATTCCACAGAGAAGGTTTCATCCCAAGTGTGGGAGCCTCACAGGGAAAATGGTTCCACTGCAGTATTTAAAATTTAAAAGAGGAAAGGGGCTGAGGCACATGGCTATCCAGCAGAAATCTCAGACTGATACGGTTTTGTGTTTTACTTATGAATGAGAACATTTAACTAGGAAAACACCATACCCAAAAGTTTGTGAAAGAATTCCTTTCCCTGCAAAAGTCAAAAGTGGCTGGCTGTATTTATCAGACTAAAGAGATAGGCCTAGTGGTTTTAATATAGCAAATTTGAGTCATTCCTCTGTTCCTTGCATGAAGACAATTTAGAGCAATCCATTTGCTCATGAAATAACACCACTGAACTTTTGATTCCATGATTTAGAAGCTGTCTGAATAGGTGGCAAAACCACCAATAATCAGACAATGTGTAGCTTCTACACTTTGAACCCAATGTGAGGGCAAGCAGTGTGTTTAGTGATTGGCATGAGTGGGAGTGCACTGGCAGAATGTGAAGTGAATGTTTGCCAAGAGGGCAGATTTTCCCTCTATACTGTAATCACACACAATAAAGCTTGACTGTTGCTTAGTGTAGAAGAATAAAGTGTTTGGATGTCAGGAAATCACTGATCGCTGACTTCAGGCAGAAACATAAAGCAATTTAGAATTCACAGTGTACTTGCTGAATTTCTCTTTAGGCAAATATTGGTCCCCAGGAAAAGACTTTGGTGCTAGCTCTGTGAATTGACAGTCTTTCTGTATCCCTGTTTCAAAGGACTGAGTTTCTATTTGATAATTGGTTTCCAAATTAATTTTTCACCTTCATGTTCTAAATTACCACATTTATTCTGTAGTTCAAACATACTTAGGTTTGGTCTTTTTCTCCTTTTTAACTTTTTTTGGTTTTGTCTTTATCTTTTGTTTGTAAAGCACACACAATGATTAATATCCTAAGCATTTATTCAAAAACACCATTGTGTAAGCTTGTAGAATATCCTATCTTTAAAGATGTCTTGATTTCTTCCCTGTAGTGTATCACTGAGGTACCAAATTGTTCCCTTGGTAAATAGAAAAATAAAACTCCAGTGATGGGTTCTACCAATATTAGTTTTTACATAAATTGAAAGCCTTTATTAAGGTTACCCTACATTGATCCTATCTGGCAAGTTTCTCTATCCATGTTTGTTTGAGAATCTTGACCATTTCTCAAGCCACCTTATTTGAATGAAAAAGAATCTTGGAACTTTGGAAGTATGAACTCGAAATGCAAGTTAAATTCTAGCTTTATCAGCCAAATTTAGCTTTATCAGCCAAAATTAACCATTCATTCTGCTCCATTAAATTATCATACTACTGCTTAATAATTCTGTGCCATTTGTTTTAAATAAAAATAAACTTAAAAGCAAGTGCAAAGGCACCAATGTAAACCCAATGTTTCTGCCTCAAGAAAGATGCAAAGCAATGATGTGAACCTAGTAGCAGTTTGCCTGAATAGCCAGGAAGGTCTAGATGATCAACAATATTAACATCTTATAGATCCTGAGAGTGTAAATTAAGCTAGGGTCGGGGTGATTACCCCCAGTGGCTTGGACTGAGACCAATAAGACAAATCTCACTGTAACATAACAGGGAAGTTTAAAGAATTTGTAAGAATAATACAAGAGTAACTGAAAATAAAAAAAGAACTCTACAAAGTAATAGGACTAAGAGAGAGAATCCAAAGAAGAACAAGGGCTCTGCCTCCCGGGTAAGGTTAAACCTTGGAGAATATGTATTTGCTGCCTCCAGAAATGGCCAAGCAGTTCACCGGCTACTGAAACCAGCATCAGTTTTCAGTCGAAAGACAAGAAACAGCTCCAAGTGCAACTAAGTCAAGGTGGCTGGCTGTGCAAAGGGATTTGGACAAGGCCTGGACTTGACAGCATCCATATCACGAGACTGGCAAGATGACCACCAGATAGTGCAGGAATGTGAAATCACCAAGGAGCTGTGCACTTTGGATGCATAGCTGAGCCACGCTCCTCCAGATGTCTCTCCACACACACCAATGATGCAACTAGAGCAGGAAAGAAAGGCAAATGCAATACCCAGAGCCAGGAAGCCTCTTGTTACATCTGCTTCCTTCACTACTAGCTGAGAAAGCTTAACTGCTCACTGTGGTGAAATGCTCACAGAGTCTCCAGCTTACTGTCACAGTAGGACACTACTCTTGGCACTAAAAACAAGAAGTTGATCATGGACACATGAACACAGGGTGCAAAATAAGAACTTTTGAAATGCAATTAGTTTGAAATGTCCATTATCCCAGAACATGAATGCAAATTTTTGGTAAATAGGAAAGTCAAATAAATTCTAATTTTGGCCTTTATTGTCAAATCCTGTGGAAAGTAATATACCTTCAATATGCAAAGAAAGCATAATGTACTGATTGTGTACAAGGTCTGCTCCCTAAACATCCAGGATAATTGAACTGTTCTGAATATTTAAGAGATTTAATTTTAGATATAACCAAAGGGGGGTTTGGGTGAGTTCATTTTATTATACTGTAATGTTCTTATAATTAAAGTGAGTAAAATGTTTTTAATTGAAGCCTTGTGTGCTAGCTAATTGCAGGTTCCGTTAACAGAGTTTTTTGGCATAAATCTAAATCCTACCATATTGGAAAATTGGATTATTTTTAGTAATAGAAAGCAAAATATTAACAATTTCCCCTTCATGGTAAATTAAACCATGAGCAAACAAACAGCGAATCTACAATAATTCATATTTCTGGATAAGTCTTTGTCAGTTGTATGGGTTGTTATCTCTTCTGTGACACTACAGTAAACTAGTAAACTGGCAACAACTGGAGAATAGCCAAGAGTCAATGGTGTTTACCCATCTTAGAGATGAGAAAATAAAAAGTCAGGAATGATTCTCTGCAAAAAACAATTAAGTGACAAATCTGCTTTGTCTAGTAGCGTAGGGAAAATATTTAGTTTTTCATCCATATTATCTTAAGAGTCTCCTGATTTGTAAGGGAAATATATACCATATTTTAATGACAGTTTTAAGATTTTTTTATTTTTGTTAAATTGGTTAAGTTTTAAATTTTTCACAGTTGCTCATTACATAGATGTCAATACATGGGTGGTTTGCAATTGGGCCAGCAGTTCTCTTACAGTATTTGAGTTTTGATAGCCCTCTCTGCAATGCCATTGTTGCTGTTCTTTGTGTTCTCATACATTTCAGTGTAGCATAATAATGAGACTAAGTTGGTTTGACATGTAGATAGCACCAAATGGGATACCAAGCAAATGAGAAGGCTGCAGAAAATGCAGTTAGAATACTTCTATACACAGAAGTTAACAATACCTATTTACAAATGTGGGAAAATAGGTTGTGGTGGTTGTCACCCGGTTGACTGATAATTCCGTGGTGTGATGAATTTAGTTCCAGGCTGACTCTGAAGAGTGGAAGCTGGAAAAAGTGAGCCCTCGGTGAGACTGCATATATGTCTAATTATACTGACAAGGTTGCCTAAGACTCTGGTTTTCACTCAGTTGAAATAAAATCTCTGTGCTATTTGCAATGGCAGGCACTACTGCTAAGTCCGCTGAAGCATAGCTGGAAAATCCAGCTGCCCTCACATCTGTTTTACATGACCTTTCAATCATTGGCAAATATTTTGCCACTAGGAGTGGAAGTCTGGATAGGATATGGTTCTGTGATTTTCAAACTATCACTATGGAAAACATATTGCAACAAAATTCACGCATGCCATGTACTGTGCCCAGAAATTATAGACTTGTCTGTTGGTGGCAAAGTTCTGACCCATCAAAAGTGCTCACACCTGCTGCTTACATTCAAGTTGTTAATCCTTTGTTCAGCAAATGAGACCTATTACAAAATATGTGAATGGCCTGTTACGGCTTAAGTGATTAGGCTCTGATACTGGTTTAGGCTAAGATAATGTTGATAAGATAGTGCCTTTTAAGCTTCTAACAATTTATTATGTCAGAAACCCATGTGACTTGACTCTTTGCAAACCATGACTTGGTTAAAGTACTTGGCCTGAGTTCGGGGTTGTAATGATGTGCCTTGAAAATTAAAGAAAAAAATAGGAACAACCACTAAAGAATCTCGAAATAATTGTAATGAAGTTCATGCTGATATATTTCATTCTTATGCTAATAATGTGGAACCAGTGGAATAAGTTCAAGAACACAGTTCAGTAAATCTCAGCACAACTCAAGCTGTTGTCAAATTTGAACACTGAACTCATTAAATTTATATAATCAGTGTTCAATTTTGACAACAGCTTGAGTAGCAAATATATGTAAATAGTCAAGTCAAGTGTTCACAAAGAGAAGACATTTTTAAGAAGGTAAGGGGATAGCTGAGATGAATTTTGAGAACACCCAGGCCGAACTTCCACAA